CCTGTGGACACACACCCACAGAGGCTCATCATTCCAGAAGTAGAAAGTGACCGAATGAAGAGGGGGCACAATCTCCACACGTCCAGAATGCTCCCTTCACACCTCCAGACAAAGCCTCCCACCCAGAACCCCTCCCATCATTAGCTTAACAGGCTCACATTAGGGGAAACGCCTCCTCCATTCTGGCCTCCTGGAATACCTGGGCCAAGACCCCCGACCCCATATGAGCTGTACCCCTGCACCAGGCTCAGCCCACCCCAGCTCATTTAGCATTCCTCTGCCCAAGCTTGGAAGGTCTTCCTGGTGGCCCAGCCCTTTCTTTTGGTCCCTCTACCTGTGCACTGATGCCCTGGCCCTGAGCGAGCCAGTTTACCCAGGACAGCAGCCACCAGGGATGGGAGCTCTCCAAACTGCCAAGTGATCCTTTGTCATGCATGACAGGGAGGAGTGGGGTGACAGGGCCAGGGTAAGGCCAGGTCAAGTGGCACAGAGCACGCACGCGCGCGCGCGCGCGCGCACACACACACACACACACACACACACTTGCTCGTTCTTCAGACATTCATTGAGTGCCTGCTATGCCAGGTGGTGTTCTGGGCACTGGGGACACAGCAGAGAACAAGCCAGAAGAAATGTCCCTTCCCTCCTGCGGCTGTCATCTATGGGGATACACACACAATTGATAGATAGGTATGAAGATATATATATGTAGTTGACCCCTTGAACAACATGGGTATGAACTGTGCAGGTCCACTTATATTTGGATTTTTTCAACAAATACTGTAAGTGTATTTTCTTATCCTTATGATTTTTTAAAATATATTTTATTGATTTTTTTACAGAGAGGAAGGGAGAGAGAGAGTTAGAAACACCGATGAGAGAGAAACATTGATCAGCTGCCTCCTGCACATTCCCCACCGAGGAAGTGCCCGCAACCTAGGTACATGACCCTGACCGGGACCCTTCAGTCCACAGGCCGACGCTCCATCCACTGAGCCAAACCGGTTTCGGCTCCTTATGATTTCTTAACATGTTTTCTCTAGCTTACTTTATTGTAAGAATACAGTATATTATATATAATATACAAAGTAGGTGTTCACTGACATTTATATTATTGATAAAGCTTCTGATTAACAGTAGCCATCAGTAGTTAAGTTTTGGGGGAGTGGATTTTTCTACTGCACGGAGAGTTAGAGCCCCACCCGCCATGTTGTTCAAGGGCCAACCGTAGTATGCTGGGTAGTATGTGCTAGGGGGAGAAAAGAAGGGAGCAAAGGAAATGAGGTGTGAGGGGATAGAGGCAGGTCAGGAAAGGACACCCTGAGGAGGAGGTGACATTTGAACAAAGACGTGTAGGAGGTGGAGGCGGAGCCATGCAGACATCTGGAGGAAAAGCTCCCGATGAAGGGACTGGCCAGTGCAAAGGCCCTGAGGCAGGAACTCACCTGGAGTATTTGAGAAACAGCCACAGCCAGGAGACCAATGTGGTGGAAGGGGGAGGGGAGTGGAGTGGAAGAACTGAGTTTCACATCTTTGCTCTCTGACTTTTAGAAAAAATATTTTTATTGATTTCAGAGAGGAAGGGAGAGGGAGAGAGAGAGAGAGAAACATCAGTGATGACAGAGAATCATTGATCGGCTGCCTCCTGCATGTCCCCTACTGGGGATTGAGCCCACAAGCCAGGCATGTGCCCTTGAACCAGAATTGAACCCAGGACCCTTCGGTCCACAGGCCAACGCTCTATCCATTGAGCCAAACTGGCTAGGGCATGCTCCCTGACTTTCTAGCTGAATATCTTCAGCCAGTGATCATGCCTCTCTGAACCTCAGTTTTTTTATCTGTAAAACGGGCCTGAAAATGTAGAGTTTGTAGTTGTTCCTAGGTTCTGAGGTGCGCTACGTGCTTTCTCGCTCAGGGCCTGGAGTGGGACAGGAGCAGAGCTACACCGGATACTTGCAGCCCAGCAGGCCTGGAATGGGGGCAAGCCGGCTGGGTCAAGAGACCCCGACAGACCGAGTCGCCTGGTAGGTCACCCTGGCTCACACTCACAGGGCCGCCTGCCGGGCCCCATGGCAACGCCGCACACAGACATCAAACAGGCCCTGCCGAGGAAGTCTCACGTCACTGTGGTTAGAGTGGCTCCTCCCAGCCCATCCTGGCTGGCGGCTGTGCTCCCCCTTGCCAGTCAGGGCCCGTGCTCCCGCTCCGTAGCCCTGGCGACAGGCTGTGTTATGGACTGAGCAGGGATCCCACCACCTGCCCCCTCACTAGGTCACCAGCCACTCCCCACATCCGGAGTAGGACCTGATGTGGTAGCCTCCGTTCACTGGCACTAAGCCTTCCATTCGACAACCCGGACCGGTGCAGCGCATCAGGGAAGCCCTGTCTACCCATCTACAGAGGGCCAGAGGCGCAGGGATCTGGGGGGACCCTAGCCAGGTGCCTGAAATGCGCAGGGCAGAGTCAGGGTGTTGCCCAGGGGCACAGCAGGGTGACTCAGACAGGAATAGCCCCCAGGCCTGGCCCAGCCAACCCGGGGTGGGGGGGACTGACTCACCACCCACCCAACACAGATGACATCAGGACCTCGCCGGCCACCCCAACTTGGCAGCAGGCCAGAATGGGGGCACCCACGAGATGTCACATCTAGTGGCCCTCTCCCCTCCGACTAGGGCTCGGCAGGCTCTGGGTGAAGGAGGATCCCTCCTGGGGTCTCTCCCCGCATCCCATCCCCCCTTTGCCCGGGGATTTCGGGCCCCAGCCCCTCTGACGTCACTGGGGTTACTATGGCAACTGGCCGAAGTTCCCAAATAAAATTACCGCGGGCGGGTTAAGTTTCCTAGGAGGCAGCCGACGGGTAAACAATGGCGGTGGCAGGCGGGGCGGCGAGGGGCCGTCTCACTCGGCTAGGACCCAGGGGTGCCCCAGGGCCAGGGGCAGGGTCCGGCTCCCCGCCCGAGACCTGATGGCGGGCCGCCTCCCGTTCCTCCCACTGCCCCTGGAGGAGGGGCGCCAGGGGTGGCACCGATCCCAGGCTGCGTGAGGGCCTGGGGAGCCGACTGCATTGGGAAGCCAGGCCCGAACGTGGGCCACCAGAAACCTAGGGACTCAGCGCGCCCCAGCCCCAGTCCCCACACCGCGCTGACCCACATGCTGGGGGGCCAGTCAGGGGGCCGCCTCCCGTTCCTCCCACTGCCCCTGGAGGAGGGGCGCCAGGGGTGGCACCGATCCCAGGCTGCGTGAGGGCCTGGGGAGCCGACTGCATTGGGAAGCCAGGCCCGAACGTGGGCCACCAGAAACCTAGGGACTCAGCGCGCCCCAGCCCCAGTCCCCACACCGCGCTGACCCACATGCTGGGGGGCCAGTCAGGGGTCACGCACTCACTGTACCGACAACCTCCCCCCCCCCAAAAAAAAACACCTCTAGGGCCTGGGCTCACCCATCTATGAAATGGGGATGGCAGTATCCCCTTCCAAGTGCATTGTCTCAGTCCTATTGGGCTGTCATTCCCCCCCATCCCTGGGGGGCTCCTGAGGCCCCCGAGTACCATTGCCAGGTAAAATACAGGCACCCAGTTAAATTTGATTTTTAAATAACGAATTATTTTTAGTACAAGTATCCATGCAGTATTTGGGCCATACACCAAATATTTTTTCACTTGTTCTATATCCGAAAATCAAATTTCACTGGGTCCCCTGTATTTTTATTTGCTAAATCTGGCAACCATATCCCTAGGCCACCATCAGCTCCGCCCGGAAATGCTCCGACAGACAGCTCCCTGGTCCCCTTCCTTCAGGCTTTACCCCTTCCACCCATTCTCCAGAGCAAGCCAGTTACATTCATGCACATCCTCCGGCCACCGTGCACTGCGGAAAGCCACCTCCTGGGCCACGAGGCCCTTCTTGTCAGGTCTCTACTTCCTCTCCAACCTGTCTTTCACATCCACCTGAGCATCCTTCAGGTCCTGGGGCACCACCTCCTCCAGGAAGCCTTCCTTACCTGCCACCATGACCCTCTGATTTTAGACTCTCCAGGAGAGTCTGTCCTCTTCTGTCTCCCTATTCAGCCATTTGGGTGAATTACTCAATCATTTGAATAAAATGAACATTTCTTTTTTTGGCTAATCCTCACCCGAGGATATTTTTTCCATTGACTTTTAGAGAGAGTGGAAGGGAGGGGAGGGGTAGAAACAGAAACACCGATGTGAGGCATTAGTTGCCTCTCGCAGGCACGTGCCCTTGTCCACAATCAAACCTGAGACCCTCCAGTCCGCAGGCTGACGCTCTATCCATTGAGCCCAGCCGGCTAGGGCTGAACATTTCTTAAATTACACAATTCTGGCAACTTCCTTGATGGAGGCCAGGTGAAGGGGGACACATCTTCTGGCCCAGGAAGCCCTGGTGCTGGTTCCCACTCTTTTCCCCACCCCACAGGGTCTGAGGCCCTGGGCTGGCCCTTCTGTGGCCCCCTTAAGAGGAGTCCTGTGGGCAGCTCGGAGGTGACTATTATGGGGTCCTAGGGGGCCTAGAGTGAAGGGAGGCCTTACAGTCTAACAAAGGGCCTGTCATCGCCTCTGGAGGCCACAGGCTTCAGCTCCTTTGTCAACAGCCAAAGGCGCCCACTGGGTCCGTACCCCTATACGTCCCGGCCAAGCTCCCTCATGGACTTGCCGTTCAGACCCACAGGGGGCACGCCCATGGATATGACCATCACCAAGATGGGACCTGCACATGGCTGAGAGGGGTATGGGAGCCCACGTCGCCCTGCCTGGTTTTAAGTGTGGTGCTCCGCCTCCTTTGGCAAAGGAGTTTGCCTCTCCCTTACGCAGCTTCTCCATCTGTAAACCAGGAATAATACCCGTGAAAGGTCAGGGGGCTAGTGTGAACGCTAACATCCATAGGCACACACGTGCAGAACAGGCTGGGACCGAAGGCGCTCCTTGTTAGCTCCTCTGAAGGTGAAAAGCCAAAATCCCCATCACAGCCCTGCGATCACCTCACCTCAGCAGGTCGCTCCCCCACATCCATCTAGGAGAGTCGGCCCAGCTTCTCAGGGTTCCGCTCACCCCACAGCGAGGACCCTATGCTGCTGTCCCCTCGCCCTGCACTGGCCTCGGGACAGCCAGGAGGGGATCTGGCTTGGCGAGAGACACCCTGTGTTCTCCCCATTGCACCACAGCTGTCTCCTTCACCCTCATCTCTGTGCCCACCGAAACGACAGGCCTGGTCTGAGTCCCTACTCTGGGGAAGGCCACCGGGTCCCGAAGCCTCTTGCCGCTCCCATCCGGCTGGAGGCTCGAACCTGGGTCCTTTCTGAGACTTGGCCTCAGGGTGCTGGCTGCTCCTCAGGGCGATGGGCGCGCATTGCGTGCTGCAGGAGCCCTGCACGGGGGCGCCGGGCAGTTGGCACTGCGATCCAGGTACACGCCGGGCAGCAACTCCGGCTTGCCCCGGCTCTGAGTTTGACCTCCAGGGTCTTTGGGCAAACGTCATAGCCTCGCCGAGCGTCAGTTTCCCTGTCTGCTGAAAGGAGGCAGCAACGGCGCCCTGCCTCTCAGGTGGTTTGAAGAGTCTGTGAATCCACAGTGAGACAAGCAATGCCTGTCACAGCCGAGTGCCAGGGCTCTGCCCCCCACCAAGGAGGGGAGGGCGTGTGGGAAGTTTTATCCTGGGTCCGAACCCCATAGAGCAGGGAGGTCAGGGCAGGGCGGTCGCCCCTGGAAATGGGCGCGGGTCATAGGACCATGGAAGGGTGGCATGCACGTGGCTCGGAGGCCTTGTCCTGAGGCTGGGGCTGGCAGCACCTGCTGCGGGCGAGCGGTGGGAGGGGGAGGGAGGCCTGGCCGTGAGTCAC